AGACCCCAAAGGAAATCACAGCAACAACAAAAATAAATAAAAGGGACCTGATCAAATTAAAAAGCTTCTACACAGCCAAAGAAACTATCATGATAGCAAACAGACAACCTACAGAATGGGAGAAAAATTTCACATGCTACACATCTGATAAAGGGCTGATAACTAGAATCTATTTACAACTCAGGAAAATCAGCAAGAAAAAATCAAAGAACCCTATCAAAAATGGGCAAAGGACATGAACAGAAACTTTCCAAAATAAGACAGAATAATGGCCAACAAACATATGAAAAAATGCTCAACATGTCTAATCATCCGGGAAATGCAAATCAAAACCACAATAAGATATTACTTATCTCCAGCAAAAATGGCCTTTATCAAAACGTCCCAAAACAATAAATGTTGGCATGGATGCAGACAGATAAGAACACTGCTACACTGCTGGTGGGGCTGCAAATTAGTGCAATCTCTGTGGAAAGCAATATGGAGATACCTTAAAGAGATACAAGTAGATCTACCATTTGATCCAGCAATCCCATTACTGGACATCTACCCAAAAGAACAAAGACATTCTATAAAAAAGATGTCTGCACTTAAATATTTATAGCAGCACAATTCACAATGGCAAAGTGGAAAAAACCCAAGTACCCATCAATACATGAGTGGATTAATAAAATGTGGTATATGTATACCATGGAGTTCTATTCAGCTGTAAGAAAAAATGTTGATATAGCACCTCTTGTATTTTCCTGGATACAGCTGGAACCCATTCTACTAAGTGAAGTATACCAAGAATGGAAAAATAGGCACCACATGTACTCACCATCAAATTGGTTTCGCTGATCAACACCTAAGTGGTCATATAGGAATAACATTTATCTGGTATCCGGCAGGTGGGAGGGGGGAGGAGGGGATGGGTATATACATACATAATAAGTGTGATGCACACCATCTGGGAGATGGACACGCTTGAAGCTCTGACCCAAGGGGGGAGGGGGGCAAGGACAATATACGTACGTAACTTAACATTTGTACCCACATAATATGCTGAAATTTTTTTTAAAAGTGTCTCTTTTGCTTTGAGCATTAAAATTTGAGGGTATTTACTAGGGCACTGCCAATAATAGAGGATGATTCTTTCCTGGATTGTTCATGACTAATTTTGCAAATTGCCCTCCATTAAGCTCCTGTTTTACAATTGTATTACAGGATTTAAAAAATAATCTCTTTGGGCTGGGTGTAGTGGCTCAGGCCTGTTCCCAGCACTTTGGGAGGCCAAGGCAGAAGGATTGCTTGAGGCCAGGAGTTTCAGAGCAGCCTGGACAACACAGCAAGACCCTATCTCTACAAAACATAGAAAAATTAGCCATGTGTGGTGGCATACACCTGTAGTCACAGCTACTCAGGACTGAGTAGTTGAGGCAGGAGTTTGAGCCTATGAGTTTGAGGCTGCAGTAAGCTATGATTGTGCCACTGCACTCCACTCTCGACAACAGACCAAAACCTTGCCTCTAAATAAATAAATAATATTTTTAATCTCTCTAATGGTTCACAGGTGTAGCCTTGAAAAAGAGGCATTAAGTAGTTAGACTTCCAGATCTAGAAAAAATAAAAAACTGATGTAGCAATGTTTGTAATGATCTTTGGCCAATCAATTCCAGCTTTATTTACTTATAAAAGGAAAGAAGCTTTACTCATTTGTCCCTATATATAAAAAACCCAAGTGCCCATCAATACATGAGTGGATTAATAAAATGTAGTATATATATATATATACCATGGAGTTCTATTCAGCTATAAGAAACAATGGTGATATAGTACCTCTTTTATTTTCCTGGATAGAGCTGGAACCCATTCTACTAAGTGAAGTATCCCAAGAATGGAAAAATAAGCACCACATGTACTCATCATCAAATTGGTTTTAAGTGATCAACACCTAAGTGCACATATAGGAATAACATTTATCGGGCATCAGGCAGATGGGAGAGGGGAGGTGGGGATAGGTATATATATACATAATGAGTGCAATGAGCACCATCTGGGGTATAGACACACTTGAAGCTCTGACTAGGGGGGAGGATACAGGGGGACAAGGGCAATATATGTAACTTAAACAGTTGTACTCCCATAATATGCTGAAATTAAAAAAAAAAAGGCTCCTTCCTAAAAGTGAAACAATTTAAAAGAAATTTTGTCAATATGAGTTAAAGCAAAGTCATTCATAGTCTGGTGGTCATTTTTGTTATTTTTCTTTTTAATTATTTGTCCAAATAATTGACAATAATAATAAGTAACTTTCATGATAAAAATCCCCCCTACTACTTGATAAATATTAAGTGGCTGATTTTTGTCATTTACTTCATTCTTTTGATATTTCTTCATGTATAGATGCTTTGTTTTCATTTGTTTTTTTTTTTATTTTATTTTAGAGACAGGGTCTTGTTCTGCCATGCAGGCTGGAGTGCAGTGGCACAATCATAGCTCACTGCAAATTCAAATGCCTCTAAATGCTAATTTTTTTTAAATTTTTTTAGAGACAGGGTCTCGCTATGTTGCTCAGGTTGGTCTCAAACTCCTGGCCTCAAGTGATTCTCCAGCCTCAAGTGATTCTCCCACCTCAGCCTCCCAAAGTACTTACAGGTGTGAGCCACTATACTCAGCTCTTCTTATATAGATGTTTTTAAAAAAAATAGATGAAAAAATAAATTTGTAATTAACAGCCAAAATTCCTTTGATAACCAGATATTTGTATAAAATAATAATAGCTAACATTCATTTAAGTTTACTATACTCTAGGTACTGTGCCAAACATTCACATATATTATTTTATCTAATTCCTATAAAATCTCTTGCTTCCCCATTTGAGATGAGGAAATCATGACTCTGTGAAATGAGTTAAACACAAGTAGAAGTGACAGAGTCAGATTTTAGGTCAAACTTAGAGTCCACACTTAACCACAACTACTCTATAATTCTGTGTTCACATTGTGGAAGTATTATTTCATGTAATTGATAGACAGGACAGGTGCTGATGTATATTGAATGATTCCTATTACATCCTACATTGCAATTTATTATTTTAGGTATTTCAATTAGGATTTTAATCAGATTGGGAACTATAAAAAATGTTTTTCAATAGGTTTTAGCTAGGAAATCATCAGAACTGATTGTATGTCTTTAAAGGCACTTTCAATAGCATAACTTCCCTTAAATATCATGAGAATAAGTCTTAAAGTGGCATATGATGCCAATAACTGGTTATTACAGATTTTCATGTTGTTGTATAGGCATAAGAAGTATTAATATATGATGCAGCCAGGCATGGTGGCTCACTTTGAGAGGCCGAGATGGAAGGATCACTTGAGGCCAGGAGTTTGACACCAGCCTAGGAAATACAGCGAAATCCCTTCTCTACAAAAAAAATTAAATTAGCATTTAGAGGAATTCTAGGCTGCAGTGAGCTATGATCGCACCACTGCACTACATCCTGGGCAACAGAGTGAGACCCTATCTCTTAAAAAAATCTAAAGTCAGATATGAAAGTGAGGACATTACTACCAATTCTACAGAGGAAAACAAAAGGATCATAGAATCTCAGGAGACTCAGGAAAAATAAAAAGGATGAAAAACAACTACCATGTAATACAGTAACTCTACTTCTGCGTATATACACAAAAGAATTCAAAGCAGGGTCTTGAAGAGATATCTGTAAAGCCATGTTCACAGCAGCATTATTCACAATAGCCAAGAGGTAGAAGCAACACAAGTGTCCATCTATGGATGAATGGATAAGCAAATGTGGTACTGCATATACATACAACAGAATATTATTCAGACTTAAAAAGGAATGAAATTCTATAATACAGTATGACATAGATGAAACGAGGACATCATGCCAGTCACACACTCAAAAAAAGTATATGATGGGCCAACAAAGTAGGAAAAGAAATCATAGAAAAATTATACTTTTTTGTTTGTTAAGTGCTTTTAATTTTCAAAAGCCTACATAAATTTAAATTATGCTGAAGTACAAAGATGTTATGGAAAAGGTATTTATGCATTTAATTGTACACCATCTGAAACAAATACTGTTTTTTTGTCTTTATTTTTTACAGGTCACTTTTGGGACAGAGTTCCTAAAAAATGTTTTGCAAATATTCTAGACTCAAATTAACACAATTTAAATGAAACTTCATTAAACTGAAAATTTCCCTGTAATTCTTAGGAGAAAGATAAATGATAATACAAACTGTTCTCACATAGGTCCTTAAAAAAACAAGTATTAATACGTATCTGAAGCTAGAAACTCATAGACTTTCAAAAGCCTGCATTAAAGCCATCCACAGGTCCCCTCCAGGTCCACACATTTATTGCCCTTAAAGAAATATACTCATATATATACAAATGAGCTATATAACTTATATAACAAATCTTACTCTGTGTGTATATTTTTGTTTGTCTATACACAGTCATAATTTTCTCACAGGAACATGAATTAAACGTTCTCCCCTCATGCTTTTCATTTTTAGATGAAGTTTTATGTATGATATAGAGCTCTGCTAGTTGTTCTTTGTATTTTGTACCAAAATGCAATATACCATTTTTACTTTTTAAAAAACCATTTGTGAAGAAAATGACACCCAAATGCATTGGGAGGGTTCATGCCACTTCATGTTAATTTGCCTAGTCTCTGAATGACAAAAAATACCACAAGCTGATCCTGCAGCTGCTACCACACTCTCAATTACTTCAGGAATTTTTACAGTTTATTGGCGTAACATGAGAGTTTATACAATTATCTACAGTATGTCATGACTAATACATGCACATTACTAATATTACAAGCTTGCTGCTTGGGCTTACTTTTTCCATTTAGAAAAACACTGACATTGTTATGTTAATTATCATAGGAATTGATGGTGTACATGTTTCGACCTTTGAGCAAAAACAAAAATCCATTAAGTTCATATTTTTATTTTTATTTTTTTTTGGACCAAGAAGCTTTGTAGTTGTTTATTTTTAAGTTATAGTACTTAAAAACTCCTTGATAATAAATAGCTTGGATGTTTCCAGTCCTGCTCCCAAGTGTGAGCAATGGGTGAACTTGTTTCAGGCCAAGGATGGATTAGGGCAACTTGGAGCCAATTCCATTGTCACCAGCAGGCAGCCTGACCATCAAAACTCATCGATTTTCCTCTGCAAGTACTTTAACATCGAGTCCATCCCTTGGGCAGAGCCCCAGATTTTCTTGAGCACTTCGCATTCCCTCTCATTGGCCTGTTCCAGCTCCAGCTTCATGTTACAGCGCACAAGGGCTTTGGATTCCTCGAGCACAACTGGATTACATGAGGCAAGCTCCTTAATTCGAACCATGACTTCCTGGGTGAAGGTGCCGGAGCAGAACACCTGGGAGACCAGGCCCTTGCCACAGGCCTCCTGTGCAGTCAGCTTCCGCCCGCTGAGCAACATTTCATTTGCAGATGCTCCTCCCATAATCTTGGGAAACATAACAGTAGAACAGCCATGTGGACTCTGTCCGAAGGTAGTATAGGGTGTTTGAAACCAAGCCTTTTCGTTAGCCCAAATCACATCACAAAGAGGCAATATGGATGCTCCTAGTCCAATGGCCGGGCCATTTACTGCTACAAAAATAGGCTTCTTAAACTGAATGAAAGTATTCACGAAGTTTCTGATAGCTTCTGCCATTTTAGTGCTTTCTCTTTCTCTGTCGTCTGTTAAACGCCGTATAAAATAAATAAAGTCAAGCCCGCAACAGAAAACACTGCCGACTGCGCTGAGCAGAACCAGCTTGCTGTCGGCGGCGGCAGCCACCGTGGTCAGAGCGCTCTGGACTTCTTTCATTACCTCTGGATTTAGTGAGTTATTCTCTGATGATTTTGTGGATAACAAGATGTGGGTGAAGCCATCCTGCTTCCTGACGACAATATCTCTGTATCTGCAGGCACTTTCTGTTTGCCTCACACTGAAACGGAACCGCTTGTCAAAAGGCTGGTCTATTCTGTTGTCAATAAATTTCGTTTTCCTGGCTGTCACTCTTTTCTTGTTCACAGCTAAGCCCATGGCCATGGCTGCAGTCACAGGGCCAGGCACTTGAGGCACCTGTGGGTGTATCCGGGGCCTGCTCCCCATCCTGGCCCGCTTCGTGCCAGGGCCCAACAGAGCTCCAACTGGCTTCTCTGCTGCCACCTCAGGTGCCACTGTGTCTTCCTGACCCTGCTCGACGGGATCTAGTTTCTCAGGGTTCTCGTTCTGAAAGCCGTCCACCACGGTCCTGCTCTTAATGGGGCTCTTAGGCACAAGTATCTTGATACCTGAGTTTGCTAGGTCCATATTCTTCCTGCTAGAGAGAGATGGTGCTGTGTTTTTCCTGAACTTCTGGCTGGCAGCAAACAACTGGCTGTTTTTGGACTCGTGGTCTTTGCCAATCACTAGTGACTTAGGAGAGGTCTTAGAAAAGTTGGTGTTGGTGGATCTGGAAATTTGTTTCCTAGCATTGTTTGAAGAGGTACTATTTGTTCCGGTTAATGCACTTTCTTTCTGCTTTTCAGTGTAGCGCCTGTTGAAATCGTGCATATATTCCTCACAGTTCACCAGGTGCTGCTCTGGCTCCCATGTGTCATCCTCGCTGTCATACCCTTTCCACCGAACCAAGTACTCCGTCTTCCCTTTTTTGTTTTTCCTTTTGTCAACAATCCTTTCAACCTCGTACAGTTCTTCGGAAGCCATGGTGAGCGGCAGAGTTTCGGGCAGGAGGGGCAGGGTCCTAAGTTCATATTTTTAAATTGGCGTATTAGACAATGTGCCAATTTCATGACCCAGTCAGCCTTCAACCCAGCCTACTTGTAAGTCAGATAAAACATCCCAAAATTATTTTCATTGTATCACTTACCTACCAAATATTGCCAATGGTTTCCCTTAGCAGCCTGTTATTCAAGTCCCTCCATTTTCTGGCTCCATTTTTCTGCTTTCTCTATTACTAGCAAATACCATTCAACCAAAGAGACTCCAAAATTCTCTTGTACAACTTTATCTTTACACCTTTATTTATACATTCCCTACATCCCGAATGTCTTATCATATCAAAATCCTACCCAGCCACCAAGGATCACTTTAAAGCCTACCTTCTTGGTCAAACCTACCATGTCTATTCCAACCTTTTCTATTCTTTCAGCACTTTTCTCAATCTTTTTCATGTCTATATGCAGGATCTGTCCAACAATATTGCAAGCTCCTTAGAGGACCTTGAACAAGTAATTTAACTTCTCTCTTTTCAGTACTTATATATCATTTTAAAATTAGAAGAATTGGAATAAAAGATCCCTAGGGCTCCTTCTAACTCTTATACATTTATTTCTTGTACCACCTCTTGTAGTCATCTGATATTCATTCCAAATTATATGATTTTACCTATACCTATTATAAAATTACCCCAGTCCTGGCTACTGGAAAATATTCTAAATATTGCAATTTTCAGATGTCAAATAGGAAGAGCTGCCAGCTTAATCAAGGAGCCATAATTAGTAAACTAAATATACAAACATTAAATAAACTCAACTCTGGGCAAGGTATCATGGCATACTACACAGATAACTGACTTGACCCCTGCCCTCAAAGAGTTCACAATCCAGTAGGAGAGACAGAGAACTAAAAACAAAGATTGGTAAAGAGAGACACAAACAATACTATAAAAATATGTGGGCCAGGCGCTGTGGCTCACGCCTGTAATCCTAGCTCTTGGGAGGCCGAGGCGGGCGGATTGCTCAAGGTCAGGAGTTCAAAACCAGCCTGAGCAAGAGCGAGACCCCGTCTCTACTATAAATAGAAAGAAATTAATTGGCCAACTTATATATATATATATAAAAAATTAGCCGGGCATGGTGGCGCATGCCTGTAGTCCCAGCTACCAGGGAGGCTGAGGCAGAAGGATCACTCGAGCCCAGGAGTTTGAGGTTGCTGTGAGCTAGGCTGACGCCACGGCACTCACTCTAGCCTGGACAACAAAGCGAGACTCTGTCTCAAAAAAAAAAAAAAAAAAAATATGTGGAGGGCCAGGCATGATGGCTCATGCCTGTAATCCCAGCTCTTTGGGAGGCCAAGGGAAGAGGATTGCCTGAGGCCAGGAGTTGCCAGCCTGGGCAACATAGCAAGAACTTATCTCTAAAAAAATTTTAAAACATAAGCCAGGTGTGGTGGTGTGCACCTGTAATCCAAGCTACTTGGGAGGCTGAGGTGGGAAGATCACTTGCGCCTAAGAGTGGGGAGGCTGCAGTGCACTATGATCATGCTAGTGTACTCTAGCCTGGGCAAGAGAGCAAGACCCTGTTGAGAAAGAGAGAGAGAGAGAGAAAGAGAGAGAGAAAGAGAGAGAGAGAGAGAAATAAAGGAAGAAGAAAGGAGAGGAAGAAAGGAGAGGAAGGAAGGAAGGAAGGAAGGAAGGAAGGAAGGAAGGAAGGAAGGAAGGAAGGAAGGAAGGAAGGGAGGGAGGGAAGGAGCTCCTACCAGGGCTGTGAGGTAGAGAAGGCTCTAGGAAATCTTCCCAGAGGAGGTGCCATCTAAACTGATCCCTGAAGGACAATAAGTAGTCAGCATTTTAGGAGAAGTAGCAAGTGTGAATTTGTGACTACTTCCGGGAAATGCCAAGTAGTCCCAGTAAGGCTGCAACTTAGAATGCAACATTGGGAGGGGTGAGAGGGGAGGTAGAGGGGCAGGCAAGAGTCAAGTCATGATGGGTTTTTATGTCCTGCTGACAAGTTTGAGTTTTTACCCTGAAGCAAATTTGTATCCAATTGTTTAAGAGATAATATTTCCAGATAAGTCATGAAATTGACCAAAGACTCAAGTTTCATATTAGAGACAACGTATAGCAGAGACTGTTAGTTGTCCCCCAATATCTGTTCTTCGCTTCTCATACAGTAATAAAATTCTTTGTTGGGCACATGGCCATGTAGTAAAGAGCCACATTATCTGGCCTCTCTTGTAGCTGTCACCATAGGACTAAGTTCTGGCCAATGGGATATGTGATGTATGCAAATGCTAAATCGTATGTGTAAATGGAAGGAGTGTGTTTTTTCCTGCCCATTTTCCCATTCCTTTGGATGAAATGTTCTTAAAAAACAAAAAGAATGAATAGAATACTGTGACTGCCTAATACAATGAAGACAGGACTTTGCCTTGTTCACCACTGCATCACCTGGGTCAGAGAAGGTACTCACTAATTTTTGTTGAATGAATTGTATAAAATATCTCATTTTCTCTCAATAGAGAAATAAGGTACTGCCCTACATAGTAAGGCTAAGTAAAGCTAGTGAGTCTCCTTCATCTACAGGTAAAGCAGATCCATATAAAACAGGTAGATGGACCTAACCCAAGTGCAAAGTCATTCTAAACCATTTAAAGCTAAACCCACTTTAGGCACTGACTTAAGCAGAAAATCAAACTATTGTGAAGTAATAGTTTATAAGTATATTATAATGAGTTCATTTTTTAAAATCAATAAGTGATATTTCAAGTCATAGAAAACTCAATATTCGCATTACTCAAAATCATCTTTCCTAATTGGTGTGACACTATCTCATTTGGAATGGCCCTCTTATACCAGACTAATTTGGCTTGCCTTAAATGAGCATATTTCTATCCCCTTTTCACATAGTCCAATATCACAATGGCTTAATAAGCAAAATCTAACCCTTCTAAAAGACAGTATCATTATATAGACACCAAAATTTCAAACCCAAGCATCCTTATTGAAAAAAAAAAAACTCCATAGTACCTCACTCCCTGACTTCAGGTGATATTAACTATTAACCTTAGAGATAAAATCTGCTTCCATATAATTAATATAAAAATGTACTTAATTTTCTTCTTCTATTGAAAGCAGTGCCATCTTGTCTGATTCTATCCTACCCGATAGCTGTGAGGTCAATCACACCTTTATCACACATGGCAAAGCAGAGAATCCATCTAAGCAAATAAAAAATACACTTAAGATTCACAGCAAATCACTGAGTTTATCAACTCACTTTAAGTTCAACTACTTTGGCCCCTGAGTAGAAACTCAACGCAAATATATATATAATAAGCATTAAAAAATACTGACTCTTAACACAGTATTCCTGGCCAAAAAAAAAAAAAAAAATACTGAGGAAGTATAAAACTACATTTCAAAATCATTCTGAAAAAATAAGTAGTAAAGTTAAAAGTAGATAAAATCATAAGTAGCAAAAGAGACCAACCTAAGATTAACTCATTTTAAAAGACACCTATGTTCTTTAAGATATCTAATTATGTCTAAAGATTATTTTTAATAATGAAAAGTAAATAGTGATTCTGTAGCCTGAAATATAACACTGACTATAACTTATTACTTTAATGAAATCCTGGGAATACCCTGCCTCCCCCAACACACACACAGATGTTTGGCTTGGTAACTCCAACTAGACAGAAAAGTAGTCCTTGACTATAATGCTAACTGTATATTTCTGTGAAGCCTGAGTAGCTGAAAAGCCAGTGACTGAAAATTTTTTAATATTCCAAATTATTTCATAATATCTGTACACAATATCATGGAATACATTTTATAAGACATTTTCCATAACACATCACCCCAATATTACACCCCAGCCAAAAAATGCGTGGGGTAGTTGCTTTTACCTGAATCATTTATCCATTAGTAACCTACATCAGGCACAACCTTTAGAAATACTAAAAACAAACAAACAAACAAAAAAAACAAGTGTGTACACATAAAATTTCTCAGGCATCTCTGGCTCTGGCCCATTATAGAGCATACACAGACAAGGAGGTAGCCATTCACACTAATGGGTTTCGCAGTTCTTTTTTATTTATTTATTTTTTATTTCACAGTATTATAGGGCACAAACATTTTGGTTACATAAATTGCATTTGCACTACCCAACAAGCGTGTCCATCCCGAGAGAACATGCACCACATCCGTTAGGTGTGGATTAACTCATCCCCTCCTCCCCTCTCCCACCTGCCCTACACTCTATGAATGTTACTTTCCATATGAAAGAGTTTTGTTTTTAAATAATAGTCTTGGCTTTGTTATTTAGTACTAATAGCAATACCTTTATGAAAAATACATAATGAACAAATTTATTTAATCAATTTGAATTGAGAATTCAAAATCAGATAAATAATCCCTTAAAACAGTGATCCCCAAACTTTTTGGCACCAGGGACCAGTTTTATGGAAGACAATTTTTCCAGGGATGGAGCAAGGCAGGGGGGAGAGGAGGCGAATCTCAGGCAGTAATGTGAGTGATGGGGAACGGCTGTAAAAACAGAAGCTTCACTCTCTCCCCTGATGCTCACTCCCTGTGCTGTGTGCCTCCCCACACATCTTCCACCCCCGTTCCTAAGTTTCATAGAAGACAATTTTTCCATGAATTGGGGGACAAGGATTCAGAGGAGCTCTGCGGCCAGGTACCTAATAGGCCATAGACGGGTACCACTCCGTGGCCCAGGGGATGGGTACTGCAGCCTTAAAAGACTAGTCATTAATCAAAATTAAATTAAAAGGAAGAGGAGTTCTACATCAATTTGGAGATAGATTGCAAAAAAATTTTTTAAAAAAACAGCCTAAGATCTGAGTTATACTGAGCAGAGATCATGAACATTTTGGTACAGAAGCAGTAATATCAATACGCACACTAGTTCCATTGTCTTTGTGACCACATTTGTTTCAAAACATGTTTCTCTTTTTGAGATGATGAAAATGTTCTAAAATTGATTGTGGTGATGG